TGCAGCTGGGAACAACCGCCAAGCGCAAGCGCAATGGCGCGGCGAGCCGACGCCGCTGTTAACAGGGCGGCCGCTCGGGCCGGGCTCCAAGCTCCGCCCGCCGCGTGATGGACGGCGCGGGCAGCGAGTGACAGCACGGCTGAGCGGAGCTGAGGCGGGCGCTGGGACGGCCGGTACCGGGTTGTCACGGGCCCGGTGTTGGGGCAGTGGGTACGGTATGCTGAGAGCTATCCTGACAGCCCGGTGCACGGCTGACAGCGGGGAGGGTGATGGCGCATCCCCGGCTGGCGGCGGGAAAGGGGCGGCTGGCGCTGGCCTCAGGAAGAGCGGCCGCCGGATGTCACAGAGAGGGACAGGACTCGGAATGGAGCTGAGCCGTTTGGGGTGCCGGGGAGGTGATCTGGGTGGGATGCAGGCAGCATTGTGCCTGTGCAGATGCGCATCTTTCCACACTACCAGGGTTTATCTGCGTAACTGTCCAGGTTCCCTCCCTCCGTGCTTTTCAGGCCGTTTGATGAGGGACAATGTTTTCTAGTGGCCTTCGGGCAAGAAGCTATTGTGTGTATGAAGGTATGAAGCACTTCAGTGCTCCCTTGTTATCTTCAGGCTAGAGAAGACAATCAGTGGTATTCTTCCACTATGTGGCTACAAGCAGTCTTCTTCACACTTGAGACACCAAACATGTTAACTGTTTCCTGGAAACTTGTTTCTCCAGATACCAGTCTCTTTCCAATACTCAGTCCCACTGGAATTTGGATGCTTTGCTATGTTTGCCAAATTGCTTGCCCTTTGTTTCGTTTTACCAGGCTAACTGGCCCGCACCAACAGATGAATTGCTAGATACAAGAATAAAGCATATATATGTATACTTGCCACAAGATGCGGGCAGATCTAGACAACACTTCAGGCAATCAAGTCTATTCAGTATTTTAGTAAAGGCTTGAAAGAGAATGGAAGTTAGGTTTCTAAAATTGGCAGATGACACCAAACTGGCTAAAACCACTGGCAGATAGAAGAAGGAATTCAGAATAATCTTATATTGATCCATACAAGAAACAATCTAAGATCAAGGTGCACTTTAATGACAGACAAAGTACTATGTATTGGAATTTGAAATCAAGTATGAGTTGAAAGTAGCCAAAAAAAAAAAATCAGAAAGTGATCACATGTGGACAGCAAATCAAAGTTAAATATCTCTTAGTAGCAACATGCTGCCACAGAGTAAGTAAATCTAATTCTAGGCCATTGAAAGTGGCATTGCCTATAAAACCTGGAAAGCAATCATTTCACTTTACTTGGCACAGTCAGAAGCACTGATGGAGTACAGGATGATGGAGTTCATTTTGGGACTCTGCAGTTCAACAAAGACACAGACAAACTTGGTGTAGCCTAGAAGAGAGTAGGAGGAATGATGAGAGGTTTATGGAATATGAGCTAGGTGAGAATGTAAACAGAAATTGTTTAGCTGTTCTACAGTAACTGTCCTTATGCAGCTTCTGCATTCATCTGGAAATTATGAACTTTTTTTCCCACTTCTGTTGATGGAATATATACATATTTCAACATCACTGACTACAGTACACATCATAACTAAATGGGATTGATTTTGTCCACTTGCAAAACCCTGGAAAAGATACCTTATAGTCAAGTGTTGTGAATAAGGTGATGTTTTTACTTCCTCAACCTTTAGTAGTAGTAAGCACATACCTAAGTAAAACACCAAAGCTGGAGACACAACTTAAGTTCAAAGTCCATGACTGCTCGATCATACAGCACATTAATGATATTTTATAACACAGTGTAACATGTAATTTTATATAATTTATTTACTATCATGCAGTTTTATTGTTTTATTCATCATCAGAAACTGTTAAGTCTCTGATCTCCTCAGAAGCCTTTGCAACAAGCTAAGCTGAGCCAACTTCAGAACTTCTGATAAGGTAAAATGTGTAAATTATTTGCAAAAAGGGTGATAAATGCGTGATGGCAAAACACATATTCACTACTCATCATTCCCTTTATAGAAGTTGGTAGTTCACATTATGGCTTTTTGAGGATTGTCTTAAAGAAAATAAAGCCAAGGTTGTGCATTTGTGTGAATATGTATGTTTGATCGCTCAACTGATCTAGCCATCTGCCTGTCCATCTGACATGTGAGGGTTAGATTGAGGCACACAGTAATTCCCTACCGCAAGAATTTAATGCATGTAACTATTTTAAGTAAATGTCACATGCTCGGGTTCATGATGAAGATCAATTTGCAGTAACTTTCTCTTGTTTCTTCAGCCTGACTTCCAACTTATGGGAGGCAGAATATTAGTTGCAATATTACAGTTCCTCAGGTATTAAACTGAACTGAGCTCAGGGGTTGCGGCCCCAGGGAACACTTCAAAATAGCAGTTTTAGAATATTCCATTTCCGACATAAAAGTGAGTTCTGTGCTATGAGAGCAAACAGGAATTGCACTGTGATGAGCAATGAGAAAACTGCTTTCTGCTTGTGTCTCTCCCACTGTCCCCCACCCCCCACTGCCAAATTCTGTATGCTGCCCTAGTTTCTTTGTGTCTGCCTGTCAAAGCCCTGAATATGTACTTTTGCTTCCTGCACAATCCTTCTGTCACAGAATACTGACAGGGTAGTAATGTACCAGTCCTATTTTGCCTGCCCGAGTTCCCGTCCCTTTCCCCCTCATAGGCATGTACGTACACTTCACAGACATTCCTGTATGGGTTGGAAACAGCTTGGATTTAAGAGACCATAAGCTTTGTAGATCTGGAAGCATACCCAAGTTAGACTTGTGAGGTCCTGCTTTACGTAACAGTTTCAGGTCCAATTTCATGACAGATTAAGCTATCGCTATCTGGCACTGCTGCAGCAAGAAGTATCCAACTACTCTGCCTGTCCTTGATTCACCTAGAAGTTTCTGGCACTGGTTCACTCAAAGAAGCCATGCTTATGACTACACCCTCCTGCTGATTCTCCCCAGAAGAACTTATTGGTATTCATTTTTTCCCCACACCCAGCACGAGCTGACATTAAGCAAAAAGCCACAAACCTGGTCTAAAGTTCCAATCCTTTGATTTACCCCAGGTCTGTGCTTGGCTTTATGTGCTGGGGTCAGTTTATTGATATTTATGTGTTTATTAAAGGGAACAAATTCTTAAAGAGAGGAAATATTTCACAGCAGCATCTACGTTTCAGCTCCATAAAGCTTCTCACACAATTTGAGCAAGAAAAAAATAGCACAAAATAAAATCTCTTCCAGTCCCTTGTTTCTGATGTCAACAAATAGTAAGGTAGAAAGGATCCTCCTCCTCACAGAAAAGCCAAAATGAGTTAAAAAACCACACTTCTGATTATGAACTTTTTGAAGGTGCTTGAATGAGAGCTGCTTTGTGGTTTGTAGTCTATGACCTGAGCACAAACCATCCCCACTTTGCCTGTCACTGCTGGTAAGGGCAGCCTGACAAACATAAATGCAAGATGGAGTGCGGCAGTCATCCGTGCTCCTAAGGTAATGTGTTCCCTGGGGGTGCCTGAGGATCCTTTCCTAGACTTTATCTAAAGAGGAGCCGGGCTCCAGGCCCGCAGGAGGCCTATGTCACAACTGGCACAGCACCCCAGAGCTGGCAGCAGGAGGGCGATGGGTAAGGACTGTACCAGCCCCTTGGAGAAGCAGAAAACATCACAGCCTTCCTCCAGCAGAGAGAACCTGAGGCCGGTGTCTGGAGCTGATCGCTTTCTTCCTGAGTAGTTAAAATAAATACAGCCTGTACTGCACTGGGAGTGGGACAGGGTGCGAATACAGCAGCTGGATTTCAAAACTGGCAGTGAGTACACACTGAAGTTTCAATGTTTTTTTGATTTTCAGGCCCACCAAAATCTTATGAAAGTGTAACAAGTGTAATCCTTTTCACAACAGGCTTACAGACAAATATTTTCATTATTGCTATGCCAGAAACAGTGCAGTGGTGCTATGCAAAATACATGAAAATCCTCTAGATTTTACATTGTAGCTCCTGATGAATTCAGTTAAATGCAAAATAGTTCATCTGCCCTTAATTCCTAGCTGTGTCATTTGCAGATCTTGTGACTAGCAACCTTATCATCATCTATGTGCAAATCAAGGATGGGTAAACACTGCGAAGTGCAAGTATAAGGTTGAGTTCAAGTATTACGCGCCAGTTCAAGGTCCCCAGTCAAGAGCTGAATAGTCCACCAACTGTTGAATTAAAAAAAAAAAAATACTGTTTTATAGAAATAGGTGTTGTAGACTCACTTTTAAACAACTTATGTGTAACGCATGATTGCATATAATACAAAATGTGTGACTGGACAGTATCTTAATAGTGGCTCTTCAATTGCAGGGCAGTTGTAAAACATACTTTTGTTAAGGGAGCCTGTATTTGAAAACTAAATTATGAGAAAGCGTAAGTAACAACACGACTTTTTCATGTCTATTTGTAGTTAAACGATGCTCTGCGACTGTAACCGGGTCTGCGGAGGCAGCGGTAGGTTTTAATGACGTTGGTAATCCCACACGCATCGAGCGGGAGCAGGCTAACCACCACAGCGCTGCATACCCGCGGGCGCAGCCCTCTGCTGAGGGAAGCCGATGTGACCCTCGCAAGGGCCCCGCCACCCGCCCGGCTGGGTGCCAAGGGGCCTTTCTAAGCCACTTGGACCGCCGAGGGCTCTTACCGGCTGCTCCGCTACCTGCTCCCGCAGTCCTTCCTGCGGACGAAGCGGGGTCCAACCCTCAGCCAGCCCTCAGCCAGCGCTGCCCCGCCCCTCCCCAGTCACGCGCACTGCGGGGCCACGCGGGAAGGGCGGGAGTTCGCTCGCACAAGCCCTATTATAGCCGCGCGCGGGGCTCGCGCGCCGCCGGGCCAATCAGGAGCAGCAGTGTCGTGACGGAGCGCGCGCCGCTCCCGCCATGTCGGGCCGGCCCCTCAGCGGCGATAGGCGGCTGGGCGCGCGCGGCGGGGGCGCGGCTCCGCGCTTGTCAGCCGTTAGGCAGCGCGCGGCCGGTGGGCGGGGCAGCCGGTGAGGAGCGGGGCCCGACATGGCGCGGAACGGCCGGTCGCTCGGCAGGGTGCTGGTAGGAGGGCTTGCTGCCGCCCCGCCGCCAGCGCGCCCGGCCGCTGTCAGGTACGCGGGGCGAGGCGGAGTGGCCGCGGGGGTGACAGATAGGGTCCCACCGCGGCTCCTCTCACCGCCGTGCCGCGGAACCGCCGCCGCGTCGGTCCCCGCCGCCCGCCGGGTGGCACCGCGGTAGCCCCGGGGAGCCACGAGCAGGGCCGAGGCCGGGGTGGGGCCGCCTGAGGCGCCCACTCCCTCAGCCCGCTCCACAGCGGCAGCTCCCGGGCGAGCCCCTGCCCGGCTCGTCCCGCCCGAGGAGCGGGGCGGGAGGGACGCTGGTGGCTTTGGGAAAAGAAGAAGTAGCCCCGGGTCCGCGTTCAGTGGGGGGAGGCTGAGGCGCCGCCCTCAGCTGCGGTACCTGTTGGCTCCTTTCATCGCGGCCAGTGCCGTTGGAAGAACAGGCGATTACCAGATTCTGAAGTTGCCTCTTTGCTCGAGGCGGTTGCGTAACTTTGAGCAATCTGTAACAGAGATGAAAAACTGAGTAAAGCGCCCGGATGTTTTCCACTTCAGATAACGCAACAAGTTCCTTATCCCCTGATCACATGTAAGGCTGGCTGGAACTACCTGAGAAACAAATATGCTTTGGGGGAAGGGTTGATCTTGTAACTGAAAGAACAAGCAGAGGGTGTTATTTTAAAACCTTAGGAGAAAAAGGGGTTCTAATGTTGCAGCAGTGTGTTTGTTAAATTCGAAGTCCTACTGTCATCCTCATAAACCAGTGAAAAAGTGGAATAGAAATTGGTTCATGATGTCAAATTTCAAGCATCTGGCATAATTATTACTCTGCAGCGGTATAATGTGAACTTGGACCACCATTTCTCACCTATTATCCTGGGTGTTTTCATCCTTTAGGTTGTGTTTGCAGTATTAAAATGGTTCTATCCAAACGTAATTGCTATTTTAAAAAGTAATTTATTAGAGTCTTGAGGGCAAAATCAATGACTGAGAAGATATTCAGTACAGGGAAGCTCATTAAGTAACTGTTTGCAAACTGGGTTTGAAAATGTTTCTTGTGTAAGGCAGAACCATCTTGCAGCTGGTTTTAAGCAAGTACAAGCTGAATCCAAAACAGCACTATATTACTTGTAGCTTTGAAGCTGGGGATGCTTTCACATTCTGTACCTGTTGTCAACTCAGTAGACCCCTTGAAGTCCTGAGTAGGGTCCTGAGACTTCAAGAACTCAGGTGGTAAGTTAGGCTCATTCAGACTGAGATGACACTTGTTGGCAACACTCATTTTTGGGGGATGGGAACAGCTGTTGACAGAGAATTTGAATCAGCTCATGTCTCACAGACCATAAAATGGCCATCAGGGACCACTAACCTGATGGAACTAACGGTTATGATAACAGTTTGCTCTTACAGCTAATTTCAGTTTTTATAGTCAGGAGTTCAAGATCGCTTTTTACAAAAATAAATTAATCTTCAGGCTTAGAAATTTTTGTAGCTATTAAAAATGATCACTGAATACAGATCACTTACATACATATACCATAGACCAGTAAATGTTTCCTCTCAGGCCATGGAATTAAGGTGAGACAGTGGTCAGTGCCCAAATGTTTACAGAGAAAGCAGTGAGTGGCAGGAATTGAACAATGCCAGCCAGAGCAGTGTGAGCAGATACGGTTGTGTCACTGCTGGAGGATAATATGGAGGTGGTCCTTGTGTCTGAATGCTGGTAAGGGCTTGGCTTTTCTTCTGTAGCCTTGATCAGGTTCACAAAACCATGTGTGAGAGTCCATTGGAATCCATGCTTTTGTGATTTCTTGAAAAGAGGGGTGCTTTCCTGAACTGGAACCAAGCCTAGCACACTGTCACAGCATCTGTTTTTCTTCAGATAAAATCGTGGGAGAGATGAAGCCTCCCCATGTTTGTTAGCATTATAGCCTCTCTTAACCTTGCCTTCCTTGAACGACAATGTAATTGTGAAAGGGATGTTGTCTTACGGCTGCTAAAAGATTACGTGTAGATATTGTTTTTCAGCCTTGTAACTGAAATGGCTCTAGATAAAACTGCATAAAAAAATATACTGGCATAGCATTACAGTAAAAATAAAACCAAGAATAGAAACCTGGCAGCTAATTTGGACTGTGTACTGTATGTAGTCCTGCATGGAGAAAATAATTTAAATTAGCTCTCCAGAATGAAGTCTGGTCCAAGCATTTGAACGCTTTCTATAAACCTGGTTGGGGCAGCTACAATGTTACTGGCACCCTCCAGCATTTCTATGAAAGCAATGCTCTTCCTTAACAGTCTTGTCCAGTCTGTGTGGAAAAAAAATCCAAACTATGTTCTCTACATACCTTGAGATGCAGCTGCAAACATTTGCAGAGTTACTTGTCTGGACTTTTAAAGTCAACCTATTATTTAACCTTTTTGATACCATACTTGTCACATTTTAAGTAACTCCTTTTCAACTGCACAGATTACAGTCTCTGTTGTCAAAACTCTCTCTGTATCACAGCTGCGTATTTATTTGTAAAAGGTCTGCACAGATTGTTTCTAATCTGCTGATGATTATTTTCCTCTGAACTCAATACCGATCTGTTATTTGCCTGTCTCCTAATACAGTGACCATATAAACCAATGGGGTCAGGCCCAGATTATTACTGTGTTTCTTTAGAATTCATAGTTACATTGATTTTTAATGAACAGAATAATAATTTAAATTGTTTACAATTGGCAACTCTAACTCACTAGACTACTTTGCTGGTTAGTAAAAAATACTATCTATCTGTTCACTGAGTTTAAAAAATACCCCCAAACAACCAAACAAGTGTAATGCTAAGTGGGGAAGGTTGGTTCCATTTTTGACTATGTGAATCTAGAAGTATGGTCCTGATTGTTTAATTAGAGAAAGAACAGAGAAAGACCTAGGTTGCTCTTTAGCTTATGTCTGTGGAATCACTGACAACAAATAGTGGCATATTTAGCTTCCTTGTGCCAAAAATCAGAGCCTTTGAGGTAGCATTTTGTGTCTTAACTGACTTAACCTAGGCAAAATCAGTGATTTAGCAAAATAGACCTATTAATCACAGTGGGTATTTGTTCGATTTTAGTGTAGCTGTTCACAAAGAACACAGAGGTACAATCTCAGAATTACTAGCATTTTTAAAGGTAATTTGTTACATTTTACTTACAAATACACTGTGTCTGAAGTTTTGCATGATATATTCTGAAGGATATGTAGAAAGCTGGGTAAATGATGCACTTTCTGAAAGGTCTTTCAGAATGAGATTGTCCTTCTAAGAGAAGGATGGCAGCAGAGGGATTGTAGCAGAGTTCAGCTTCATATCTCCAGGTGTAACCTTCTCTTTGCATATTCCAGAGGGGTAAAGTATTGCAGACTGTGTGTTGCTTTTGCTATTAAGGAAGCCTGTTCTGCAAGCTAAGTGCTTGTGAGGCTTGTACATGAACTCAGGCTGCCAGTGTTTAATGAGGGCCTTTGTATTTTACTCTGCCACTTACTTTCCTCGTGACTGGGGGCTATTTTTAGTTTCTCCTAAGGAAAAAAAAAGTCCCCCTTGTGCTTTTAATGATCCGTGTTCTCTTACAAGCATTTGTTTTTGCTTTTCCGTCTGAATCTGACGTTTTCTGGAACGTTAAACAACAGATTGTCTCACCTGAATGTATTGTTATTTATTTTGCTGACATTAAATGCATCTAAGAACATTTCTACTGTTTCAGACACTTGGCTTCTTGTGGTATTCTGATGACCAGAATTTCTCCTTCTCCTGTAAGGAGCCATGCCTTTTCAAGAACCTTCTTCAACATTGCTGCACCGCTAGTAAACAAAAGAAAAGAATATTCTGAAAGAAGAATTATCGGGTTTGTATAGAAGTGTGGAAAGAGAATTTATGTGCTTCTTGATTTTGTGTTTGCTGTGGTTAATCCAAAATGCTAGAAGTTAGACTGAGCATCCCTGAACACACAGGCCCCAGTGACTCTGCCCAACTGGAGACTAGAAAGGAGTTTTGACTTTTGGAATTTATAGAAATCAGGCTTTTCCAGTCTGAAACTGGAACTCAAACCCTTGCCTCACAGAAAGAAACTGCAGAAATAATCCTTCTATTCCATGAAAAAATGAAAATAACCTTGAAAGGGAAGAATACACTAGTGATTTAATCTGGTGAAATGGGAACAAATCAGCAAGTGTGAAAACTCTGTTCCCTTCTGTCCCAAATCCATGCCAGTGTTTGCACTTACATTATGTTGTACTTCTCACTCCTCAAAATTTTCTTCTCTTTGAAAGCAGGAAATTAGTTAGTTGTGTGATGAAGAAACTTAGGCATATAGAAAAAGACTTTGAAATCCTGTTTACCTTAAAGGTAGTGGGAAAATTCCAGCTCATTTAATGAGACTGGGATCTGCCCCCAGTCTTTGATCCAGAATAGTATGAACTGTTTGTTTAAAAGCATAATGTTTTTACTATGCTTAACATTCATTTATGTGATAGTTGTTGAACTGCAACAGATTTCCCATATTCACTTAAAAAGAGCCTTTGTCCAGTACTTACTGTTGAGTACTGTTGAACATATGCTTCATTTTAAACGCAGGTGGAGTTAAGCGTGTGCTTCGATTCTTTTCTGAGTCAGAACTAAAAACTAAAAACCATAGCTATGTAATACTTTGCCACGTTACAGTAGAATCAACTAAAATACTGCCACCATATTCTTTCATGTGATTTCAATATCCTACTTGAGCCAGGGGAGTTGGACAAGATGATATCCAGAGCTTCCTTCCAACCTCAGCTATTCTGTGAAGTTTTTCCATTGCATGTATTTTTAATTAAGCTTTTTTTATTTGGGCTAAAATAAGGAAAGTAGTGTTCCTCTATTTAAACCTTATGAAATATAGTACTTCAGTTCTGATACACCTTTTCTTTGTAGCCATGAAGTGTGGGTTCTTTATGTGGAATGCCTAAGACTGACCTAAATGAAGACTAGCTGTGCTGGGAAAAATATTTTTCCCATTTGAAACATATGCATATTTACCTGATAATACAAAAAGTAGCAGACACCAGGTTCACTGTTCACTAACTTTACTGCTGGATGTTGTGTGGTGTTTTGCTTCTTAAAGCAAAGACTTGTACAGTTTATTACTTTTTTTTTTCCCCTCTTAGTTAGCAAAGGTGCATTTTTAATTTCCAGAAACAAGTGTAGTGTTTGCAGGTGACTTGCATGTTCACTTTTCAAACTGCCTATGCCATTTATACCATCTTTGAAACTTTTAAATACTGAATTTGAGGTTAATATACCTTGTAACAAATGTTAATGTTTCTGTTTCCAGGTACTCTATGCAGGAAATGTATGAAGTTGTGGCTGTTGTGGAGAATTACAAACTATTTGTTCCTTGGTGTAAAAGATCAGATGTATTAACAAAGCGCTCTGGATACTGCAAAGCACAGTTAGAAATCGGATTCCCTCCTGTCGTAGAGACGTATACATCGATTGTTACCCTAGTGAGACCTCATTTAGTTAAGGTAACTGTTTTGCTGTGGGTTTTTTCTTAGCTGCAACTTTCTGTAACCTTTGAAAATCAAATATTCCAGAAATGTCTTGCTTCAAAACAAAATTTGTAAGGGGAGTGCTTTATGTGGCTCAAAATCTGTGTTGCTTTTAAGATTTTAGATTAACTGGGGAGAATTTTAATGTGCTTTTATAATATAACCGGGCAAATGGTGGTGGTGAGTTCCATTTTAATTTGCCTTTGCTGGAGAAACTGCAACCATTAATAAGAGATACCATTTTTTTTGGTTTTGTTATAATTTTCCTCTCTAAATGCAAAATTAATACTGACTTAAAAGTTATCTTTGACTGTAGCTTCTGATGCCTTAGCAAAATTGGTATCTGTCATTACTTCTGACAATTTTAACTAGTTAATATGTGAAGTCTAAAACCGAGCTGAAGACCTTGTTATTCAGTGTATTGAAGACAGAGTAGATTTAAACACCATGTTTTAGAATTACTCTGTTCAGAAGAGAAGCAGTTGTATTTCTCCTCCTTTCAGCTTTTCAAGAGCAATAATTAAAACAAAAATATAAAGGGAGAAATTTTAAATGGTGCCTGGATCTTCTAACTACTTGTTTGCCTTACGTGTTCAAATCTGTTTCGGCAAGGAACAGCTCAGAACAGATTCCTTACAGCAAAACTGCCTCTCCCTTCATTTGGCAGATCTTGATTATTTCTTGGATTAACTAGTGAAAATACTACAGTTATTGCTGCTCAAGATAATTGTTTAGATATCCTAGTTCACTTTTCTTTTTTAGGCTTCCTGTTAAAAGACGTTGCTTACAACAGAAAATAGGTATAGGTTTAAGTACAGGAGAGACATAAGTTTAGAAAGGAATATGCTAAGTGCCTTTACTCAAGGTACTTACTGATTCTGGAAAGAAAAAAGTCGCACTTTACTAAGAAAGTTGAGCAGCTACAATGGAAAAATTTGCATTTTACATGCTGACTGCTCTCCATTTCTACTCTTTCCTGACAAGACTGGACTCTCTTCCCTTCTAATTCACTCAAATGGGGAATTATTGTCTCAGAAAAGACCACAGAAGGGGTGAGGAAAGCCGTTTCTTTAGAATTCTTCCTCCTTGACTTATTAGCCTTTTCTCTGCTGGGATTGTTTTTCTCATAAGTTTTCATTATATTCATGTAACTATAGGAATGTTTCTAGAGAAACAACTACTTTGTTGCTTGGACAGTGAAGTTTGGACTACTTCACTGGCCTCAGAAATAACTTTGGGCAAAGGCATCTTGCAGGCTGGTCTAGCATAGCAGGCTATGGATGACAACAAAATGAGCAGTGGAAAAATCACACTGGTAGCAGCAGCTACCAGGGAAGCATGGAATGCGTTTGCTGCTTACAAGGCTGGGAGGAAGGGGGACACAGTGGCAGTTTTCCTGTTCTTTTTGCCCTTCTGGCAGCTGCATGAAAAGCAAACCCAGCCCTTTGTGGCCAATCTTCCCTCCACTCCTCCCCTTTCTGCTGAAGAAGTAGCAAGGTACTGCATCTCATTCCTGGGCACAAAAATGTAGGCATTTTTGTGCTGCTGATTGATCTTGGAGATGGCTTACCTTACTATGGCTTTCAAAGCATGAGCAATACCTATTCATTATGTGTAGTCTTGTTGGAGCAGAGCTGCTTGTGGTAGCAGGAAGAACTTGTAAAAACAAGTTAAAAAAGTAAAGTTAGAGAAATTCTCTCTAGAAATTCAGAGCCAATTGAGATTACAGCCTCACAAAATTAGCTGTATGTGCCAAAAGAAAAATCAGTGACAGTAAAATCAGTATTGTCACAAAAACTATGAAGTTGACTACAGCGAATACTTTGTTGTCTTGAAGGAGGATTGTATGCAAGCATTCCTGAAATGTTAGGTATGGCTTACTGGTAACTAAAAGTCAACATATAAGCTGATTATGAACTTGAGTGTAAAGTCTTACTGCCTTCATGGTAGCTCTTGATCACAATAGTATCTTGTGACAGGTGATGCTTGAAGTTTGTCTTCAGTGAGGTTTATTTTGATGCTAAGTATTCCTGCATCCTGAGACTACCAGTCCATATATCAGTATATAAAGAAAAAAAGTACAAACCCAGTTAACATCCGTATCCTTTGCTTAAAGCAGTGTTGTTCAAAATTCTGGTATACAGCATTATTCTGATGTTCCGTGCATCATGCTAGAGATCTGTTTTATGACTCTCAACAAGATTTTTTCCTCTCCCTTAAAAGGAATTTAGTTATTTTGCCATAAATAACATTGGGCAAATGGGATCTCATGTTGGCTGCAGTATGAGAATAATTTTAACTATCTCGTGACCTTCACTCTCTAACAAAATGCAAACTACAGTAATAGCAATTTGTCACATCTGTACAAGCCTAATTGTAGCTTCACTTTTTCACTATTTTAGGCATCCTGCACTGATGGGAGACTATTTAATCACTTGGAAACAGTGTGGCGTTTCAGCCCAGGTATCCCTGGTTATCCAAGGACATGTACATTGGATTTTTCAGTAAGTAGTGGCATTCAGACTATCACGTGCTCAGAACAGGGCATAGAAACAGTATCTTCAGCTGTGCTTTTTTTAATTAAATGTGTGGTACTCCTTCGTTTTTGTTTTTATTTTTTTAACAGATACCCTGAAAGCAAGTTAGTTGTAGTCACTACTAGCCAAAAACTTTTGGAAAGTTTACCATATGGAAACCACTACAATGTCCTGTAGAGATAGCAGTCTTCTGTGAGGAGTCCATGTATCATGAAACAGTCTAAGGACTGGCATCTCTTACCCTACAATTCTAAACATGCTGAAGTTTTTAGTCAAATACAAAGGGAGAAATACTAAACATACTTTGCTATTTCCCCTTTAATTGCTCTATAACCTAAGTGTTCTTGGTACTAGAAAGCAGGTATTCTGTTTGGCCTTCAGTTTGATCAATTTCATTTTCTAGCTTCTAGTTTTACTTTTTGATGTATTTTTACTCTTACACCTTCCTTTATAATGAAGGTATAACAGATTTTTTGCTTGCACCTCTATGAAGGGATATCACTGCAGCTCAAAACTATCCTTCTTTAAATCCAGTACATGATTTAGCCTGTTACTCCTAGACAAATTGTCTTTCACTCAAGTTACTGCTTTTCCATTTTGTCTATGTAGTCTGTCATCACATTGTTTTCTCACATTTTATAGTGTTAAGGGTAGGTGTTGCATCGAGCATGTAACTAAACTGGAGTTCAGAACGGGATGCAAAATTGCACAGAAATGGGTTGATCCTGCTGCCCTCTACTGGGATTCTCTGCTTTAAAAATTGTCTTCCGTGAATAAAAAAACCAGCTTTTGGAGTATTTGTAAACTAGCACATTAATTTCCTCAGGTTAGCAACTTTCAGCTTATTGAATTCATACAGTTCAACTGTAAAAATTAATCTATAGGCAGTCCAACAAATACATTTCTCATGGGATTTGCCAATGACATTTGCATGTTACTTGCTTGTGGTATTTTCATTTCTCCAGGCAAAAAAGTGTCAAATCCTGCTACTAACCAGTACATGTAAATGTTTAAACACTGTCATCTAAATATTGAGTCTGTGAGGAGAACTCCCCACACCACCTTTTGACATTTCAGATCAAGAATTCCAGCTAAAGGGAGCCAAAACTGGGCTTAATGTGGACATTTTCACTTTCTTGGGGAAAAACTACCTCTACTTCTTACTGCTTACCCCATTTTGAGGTGGCAGAAGCAAATGTAGCCAGCTGAGAAGCAGACTGAGAAGCAGACTGCTTCAACAAAGCCTAGTCCTGACGGACTCCAACCCTTGCTAGTTACTGACCTGCTGTGTTACTTGCCTCTGAGCCTGTGCAGTTAGGGATGATAAGCATTTCACAACAACCTTCTCAAAACATACTGTGCTATTACAGATACTGGAGAGAAAACTTTGATTTCAAGAATGCTCATTTGCTTTACAAAATATGAGTTTTGGGTTATGCTGGTTCCCACAAGCTACTGTATCCTGTTTTGCTAGCTTGATGGCAGAAGACATATACAAGCAGCAGAGAACTAGTTTGGTTTCAGCTCCTAAATGACTTGGTATATAGATTGAAGTCCACCACCATTTTTACCATGTGCAAACTTTGTGTGTACTGTACCTGAAGTTTTTACATAGTAACTGAACATGATGCCAAACTCCTTATCCCTGGCCTGCACAACTCTACATGCTCTGAACTACAGCGTTCATACTTTCAAAAGGCACGTTAATTTTACTCATGCTTGAGGTCAGGCAAATTGTAAGTGAAGCTACACTTGGCTTACAAGCCAAGTGGTTTAATTACTTGTGTGCTCCTGTGTTGCAGTTAATGTGCATTACTCATAAGCTATTTGAGAGCAGCTGCATTTACTCAATATAGCATTTAATCTGCTGATTTTTCAGGAGTGACAAAAATACTTCAATCTCAATCCAAAAGACATGCTATAGCAGGACTGATAAAATTGCAGAAGAGCAACCTGCTTTTCCTGAAAAGTCTGTAATCATTTTGGGAAGCTTTGTGTTCCTAAACAATACCATTCCATGGCCTTAGGGGAATGGTATTTAGCTAGGCTGAAGGCCAGCACAGCACAAAAATGTAATTGAAGACTATTAGACATAAAAATGACCTTTTCTTCTGAGGGTGGAGAGAAAAGGCAGTTCCCTGCATGCCCGCCTTAACAGTTAACTGCTGCATTAGCTTCAGTTAAAATGCAAGATTCAGTAGCTAGAAGAAAATGCAGAAGCTCTAGTGCTGTGGTAAGAGGCCCAAGGGTGCAGAACAGAGAGCTTAACCTTTATGGCTATAGGCTGACATTGCCTGCCTGTGTCAGGACAGCGTGTTTTGGCACACACAATCAAATTTGTATCTCGTTTGAACATACCATAACTACAGCTACCAAGATGGAAAGACTGATTTAAAATGCTGGTAGTTCACAACTACCTATTTCGAGCTAGGTTTAAATGGCTCTTAGGTTTGCACCAGCTTACCTGTAAGTCTGTTGCCATGCCATGCAGGACTTTCTTCAGAGAACTTATGGCCCCCGGGTGAATCCTGTGTGCAAAGTAACTGAGTTATTTGTTGTCAGTAAGTTTTCATTATCCTGACTGTGATGCATCATTTATTAAGTAAAATAGAGTTTAGATAAATGGAAATGATTACCTCAAAAAACTGAAAGAAGGGATTCTAACTGAAGAGCTTGGGGAGACAGTCCTCTGACAAAGGAATAAGGCTTTTCTTCTCAGACACACTCACCTATAGCTCTGTTTTAATTGTTCTTTCTCCTGCAGCTTTCAGACTAACTGGAGATGCTTTAATGAAGTTGTCTTCTTCTAACAGCATTTTTTACCACAATGGTAGACATAGAAAAACAATTCTTCTCTATTTTCTTAAACAGGTTTCTTTTGAATTTCGTTCACTTCTACACTCAAAACTTGCTACGCTATTTTTTGATGAAGTGATAAAGCAGATGGTAGCTGCTTTTGAAAGAAGAGCATCCAAGCTCCACGGTCCAGAAACAAGCATACCTCGGGAGCTAATGCTCCATGAAGTTCATCAGACGTAAAGGGAACTGCAAGAACCTCCATTACAAACTTGTCTGTACGCTTCATTTGTTCAAGAGGTGCTGCGCTCCTCCTTCGGGGCATCTATTTCATACCTGAGCTTTGTGTGGAATTTTATACTGTACAAACCACACTGGTTCAGCCAGATGTATACAGAATGTTCAAGCCACGATCAGGACAAACTTAAGGCCTTATCAACAACAGACACTTGGCAGTTTCTATAACACAAGGTGTCACAGGCTGCCATTTATTAACTTGTCAAACAGTTTGTGTAATCACAGCCTAAGTTCTGCCTTATCTAAGGTTATGGGAGGATTTTTTTCAGCTTTGTAACATACTTGTTTGGGGATTTATTTTTTTTTCAGCTTTGTAATATATGACCTCAAATTTAAGTTATTGTTAGCATAAGTCTAACTTAACAGCATCAACTCGGCCACCTCTGCCCCAGTGAAGGGAAGTGCGCATTCTGGGTCTGCAGATCATTAAACAGTCTGTCAGCCATGGAGTAGCAGGTGCTTGTCAGCCAAGGGAGAGACAAGGGTTAAGTCAGGAGTCTCCAGCTGCTGCTTAACTCTGAACAATAACTGCTATAGAAAGAACACCACAATCTGAACACTCTTGATTTTTCCAGTAATTAAACATTAAGGAGTATATGTAATGTGAGGGGTGCCATAAATCAAGTGCAGTGATTCCAGCGGTAGCCAGTGGGTTGTAGCTGTCTAGGCTTCAGCCACCACTGAACACATAGTACATTTGGCAGGTGGAACTTGCTGAACTGCAACTTTCACTGTCACACACTGCACTGGGGTTGGGATAGATACATCTCATCTAATGTAATCACTTCCCTGTTCCAACCCAACTTTAACCCAAGTAGATGAGCACTGCAGCTGTGAGAACTAGAGCAGATACACAGTAGTCTGTACACAGAGCTATCCTCCCTGGACGGAAGGAACAAGATGTCTTCCACTTACTGCAGGTAAGCATGCCCAAGGCCAGTTGTCACTACAAGCCATACAACAGGGCTAAATCTTAGTTCTGTGGGTTTTTTCAGTACCATACTACTATTTAATTATCAGTCCATTACAACAGTAAAAGCTGTCTTGATTAAAAAAGATGTATCTTTAGCAGGTCTATTCCTGATGTTCTTTTTAATCCCTGAAGAAACGTAAGTGAATAAGGTCTGAACAGGTTTTAAAACCTGTCTATCTGCTGCTTTGCATTACCCAGTTTCTTTGCGAAGATTAGGTGACGCTTCTGGTCCTTTCTCCGGTGTCTGGAATCCATGTGGCTACTACAGACTGGTGTATTAAATGACATGGAAGGTATCCTTCAGGACAGACAGCCCCAGAGCAGTTTCAGACCACTTTTCCAGAAAGAGCAATTGACATTTCACACATCCTATCTGTGAAAGATAGCTTTTACTGAAGGTAGGAAGCTGGACTGAGAGGTCAGTTTTATAGCACTGAGAAGTGATGGTGGTTGCCGAGACAATGAGAGACGAACAAGTTTGGAAAGCAGAGATGACTTTACACATCCATGTTAAAAGCTGTGGCAGGTCAGCATGTGGCAAACAAAGCCATAACATAAGGGAAAGCAGCATCTAGTGCAAAGTCATTCAAACTAAATCCTTGAGCCAATTACCAGGAAGCTGAAAGACGACACTGAAGGGCTCAAGGCAGGAGATAACCACATATTACACTTCAGCAAGAGAAGTATTTAAAAACCCACAGCCCTTTCTTAGCAAAGAGGACTTACCTGTTTCATATCCTCAGGGCACGTTTCCTCCCCAGCTATGCAGTGGACCGCCCATTCCAGCACCCCAAACAAGCAGTACAGACAGGGCAAAATAAAGTCAGTGCACGGGCCTGATTTTCAGAGCATAGTTTAATATTTCAAAGAACCGCAGTAAGATATTTCTTACCAAAAGTAAAGTCGCTTGTAGTTCTGAGAAACATTCTGGACAAAGGAATGTTTCCTGGAGGGAAAGGCCCTGTCAGCTTTCTAGTAAATCTGAGAAGCAGCAGCAAGGGTTTAAGGTTCTCCTGTGACTGTGGCTTTGGGTGCAGATGAATAAGGTGATACCGTTTGTAACTTTTGAGCAGCTTGTTTTATTACAGAAAGGTCACATAACTGTGTATTTGCCTACTTCGTACACAATTCTCTAGTCTCACGCACAGTGGCTTCCAAGTTCTTCCTAGTACTGGCAAGCACCAATAAATTCCAAAACAGGATATCAAGTGCCTTAATTAAGTTTCAATCAGGAGCGTGGTAGATGGATCTTGCACCCAGTTATCAGGAATGTACAAATGTCTTTATTCAAAAAATACAAAATAAATTATCTGTAGGCATGGACAATGACTGTAAACAATTACATGTGTGTTAAATGAAATCCAGTAACTGATGGTTACAGTGATTCTTTTCAACACCAGCCTCACTGCAGTCACTATCCACCCTCCCGCACTGACAGCTCAAGTTCTTGAAATCAGAACTGTCAAGTCTTTGACAGCCCAGCTCATGATGCATCCCCATCCCAGGAATTAGAACATGCCCCCTCCCATTCCTCCACCCATCCCACCCATTCCTCCCATCGCCGGCTCCTTTTCTTCTTTCGGCATCTCAGTGACCACTGCTTCTGCCGTCGATAAGAGAGACGCAACACCCGCGGCATCCATCAGAGCAGTTCTCACAACCTGAAAATAGGAAAGAAAGAACTTCATCCCTGCTGCCAGCACATGAGGTGGGAGGAAGGAAAGCTGAGAATCAAGGCTGGTTTAGGTTACCTTTGTGGGGTCTATGATTCCTTTTTCTACCATATTTACAAAGTCCCCGAGCATTGCATCGTATCCAACTTCTGAGGGACTCTGCAGGATTTTTTCAACTATTAGTGAGCCTTCAACACCCGCATTCTTTGCAATTGTCATTGCTGGGATTCTCAGTGTTCTCTTTATGATTTCAATGCCTGTAAGAAAAAGGATGTTTACAATTACGTGCTACGTATGCTGCTCCTACTGCCAAGGCATGCCCTCGTGTGCTGGAAAATCAATACATGCAGAACCCTCTGAGCAAGAACATGCGCCGTTTTTATCTGCTACTTGACACTTATCAATACATGGCATCTTTGCAGGATATTCACACGTAGTTTTGGTCCTGGAACATAGACCCTTTCCCATCTGCTTTGCCACGCAATCTCTTAAGTGTTCTTAGACTTTATATCCACTTGCAGTGGTGCCAGTCAAATCAATTCTTCCATTAATGGTTTGCAGTTCTCTGCAGGGACTACTGCTGCTTTGTTTTTACTGGTTCCTCCACACCCAAAGCAGGGATGCAGCAAAGCTACTTCCTACTTCCTATCTGCTTCTAAAGATGCAACTCCAAATTCAGTGAAAGCAACCCGTCCTTAAGTCTTGCAATGCCTCAGGACAGGAGAATGTCTGTTCTTAACACCTCCAACCACACTTACCAATTTTCTGATCTTCATTAGCTGGAGCTAAAGCATCTAATGCTGGAATGCAGCGAAGCAATGCACAGCCACCGCCCGGAACAATGCCTTCCTCCACAGCTGCACGGGTCGCATTCAGGGCATCGGTAACTCTGTCCTTCTTCTCATTCACTTCAACATCACTGGTGCCACCAACCTGCATGCAGCAAACCACACATCAAGGTCCACACTCTTGGCGTGGCTGGGGGAGTACCGCTGCACAGAACTAAGTGGCACTGAAAAGCACCAGACAGCAAACCCCTGCTCTCCCCTGTACCTCAGCACCCTAAAAGCCAAAGTAATCAACTGCAGCTGTGTGTCTCAACAAGTTCTTAATACAGAATCATAGCACTGTAAATGTAGTCAAAGTGCTTATCCCAACCAGCTGCCAAGATTGCACAACCCTCACAGAGTCGTAATTTGCACTGGCAATGGAGGACTGATGCCCTTTCCCAATAAGTTTAACTTCTCACCTTCAATACTGCTACTCCATCAGAGAGTTTGGCCAACCGCTCGTTCAGTTTCTCTTTTTCGTATTCGCTTGTGGTAACTTCCAGCTGTTCAATGATTTCCTGAATGCGTTTTTCAATTTGAGCCTTTTCGCCCTTCCCCTTTAGGAGCATGGTATCATCCTTTGTCACAATGACCTCTCCAACTTTACCAAAGTCATGAGGCTGAATATCTTCCACATTTAGGGTCAAACCCTCTTCTCCAAATACCTGAGACAAATTATGTGAAAGGTTGGAATTCCCAGCTCCTCCATACATGCATTTTTCACTCAGAAACACAAACACGTACAGCAGGCTAACAGTGCAAAACAATCACACCACTGCAGCCAAGCTCAACAAAACTCTTCCCTTCTGCTAACAGAGTTCAAGCATGTGGGTACCTCACAAACTGGCCCTCAGAACAGGGAACTGCCCCCATCCTATTCATGACTGACTCATGTAACACACCAATTCCAAGCGCTTGGAGAGTGGAGCCGTGTTAGAGTCCTGCCTTTCAGAAGTTATGGATATTGGCACTAAACCGACTCTAGACTACAACTTGTTGGCTTGTTACTTTGTGCCCCTCTTCTTGACATTAACCATTAAGCTTAAACATGAAGTTTTAATTCAACAACTACCTTTGGATCCCAGTATCATGCTATGAAGTGTATATAAGGAAAATGCAGCGTAAAGGGACATTAATCAGCCCATCAACTATTTGCAAAGTTAGACAGATATCCCACACATGTGAAAGAACTGTATTTGCCATACTTGAGTCTGGGCAATTGTGAGACCATCAGTTTTATATCAAGAAAGTTTTGCTATTTCTAGGCAATTTCCATGAAGTTCCTCCACCCCCTTAACAATGTAAACATTGCAAGTAAGTTGTGTGTAACTTCAGCCAGTTAAAAAGACATATTGGTCATGGCTGGCCAGGGCTGTACTGCACAGCAGTTACCAGTAACTGCATTTAAAAAAAAAAAGATTGAAACATTAGAGCTACTGCTACATTCCTGAAAGAAGAGGACACTGTGTCCTCTAAGACAAGCCATGGACCTAAAAATAGACATTCCTTTCCTCCTTAAATACCATTAGCATTTCTTTGAGCACAAAGCCAGTTAAAACATCATTAC